CTTCTTCCCTTCAGGAGAGATGGTATTTAGCATCAGATTAAAAAGGGACGCTCCCCCTTTCAACGTCTACCAGGGCCGCACTCCTCACCCAGAGGTAAGATAATGGGCTCTTAAGGAAGAAGTCAAGTACCCACTGCCTTTTGAAACTGCCTGACGAGAATTAACGGCCTTTGCCATCCTCTTTTAAACAACACTGGCTGGGTTTCTATAAGCACCTCGTTTATCTTCAGGCTCTTTCATCTATTATCTGGCAGTAAGCATGTTCGTAGCTCATCAGCTGGATCGCCTTTGACAGAGAAGTCTTATGACGAGTCGCTCACAGCCTAATGTCAGCTCCGTGAGTATCTCTGGAATTGAGGTGATGGGAAAAGGGTAACCTTCTGTGGCTCCTAACAGCATTTGCTGAACAACAAAAATAGAACCTTAAATCATTCTCCCTTCGGGAAAGCAGGTCCTCTTGGCTAATATTAGACTGCATTGCAGATGGCTTTGTCTTTAGATCAAAAGCCACTTGAAGCCACCTCTGTCTGCCTTTGTGCTCATATGTGGTCGCTGATATGAACCGTGGGCTTTCCAGTGGTACAGATGAAAGTTACTGGGCAAACGGTTTTTACATGGCCTCTGGCAAGTCCATTCTCAGGTATTTTTGTCACTGCCAAGGGAAAAACAAATCACCATCCACTATCTTTATTTTGTGACCATCTAGCCTCTAGGGGTTTATATTGGTTACTTCTTGTCTGCCTGAAGAAGCAGGAATAAGTTTTGTGATAAAAAACAAAAATTAATTCTTTTTGAACAAGTCTAGCTTAGTTTCTCCATTATCTGACAATAGCAAAGATTCCTGTTTGCATAACTTACGAGGTTTATGTTTCAAAGAAAGTGGAAAGCTGGCTGTCAATAGTCATAAATATTTTGAGTAACTGCAGTAGACTTTAGAGAAATCTTAACGCCTTGGCAGGCTGCGTTTATACTTCTGTGGACAGAACAGGAGCTCTTGAGCATTAGCATTATTACCACATTGGCAAAGAGGTGCCTGTTGCTTTACATCCCTCATTAACCAAGCAGCAAGGCCTCGACGGGCTCAACTAATGAGTAAATCAATTCATTAGGATGTGTTTAGTTCTACCTAATCACCTGATGATTACCCAGAATCATAAAAACAGAACATTTTGGTCTTGAAGGTAAAGCTATACTATAAATAATGGCTATCAATTGCTCAATGCCTAGTCAACACTTCCGCTTCAATCCCGAGTAGTTACTTCAGGAAGCTGGAAGAAACCAGTATGGACATCTTCCCCAAGGAACGCTAATTTAAGGGTAATTGTTACCCTGTGGATAAGCTTGTTTCTAGCTTCAGACCTCTGGGCAACCTAAAAGCTACTGATTTGGAAGCTGGGATTAAATAAGATTGTGTGTGTGTGTGTGTGTGTGTGTGTGTGTGAGAGAGAGAGAGAGAGAGAGAGAGAGAGGTGTTTTCATTTATGCCATTTTGTAGATCACTTAAAAACTATAAAATATCCTGATTTTCATGAGTAGCCAGATGACAGCTAATGGGAGCTCTTTGCTTAACTGGCACTTTTGTTCTGAGATGTGGGAAGATAACACAGCAAGACTGACTTCCTCATGGAGCAGATGATCCACCAAGAACTATTTGTGACGCCTTTCAAGGTTAAAATGTTCATAAAGCTACATGTTTGCCTCTAAGAGCTATTAAGGGTAAAAATCAAGAGCTTCTGCAAAAGTATTCACACCAGCCATGATTCTTTAGCTGTGCTCCCTAAAGAAAGAAATAAAATAGCTCCTTGAAATACTGTGATTTGCAAGGTGGGGCTTTGGGGGTTATTTCCCTAGACTCTACGACAAAACCAATCTATCAGAATCTATAGTCACTCTCCCCTGTAACTCCTCCCTGTCCCCCATGGACACACGACAGAAACTTCCTCAAAATACCAACAGACCAGCTCATGTCGGTCTGTGGGACTGACATGAGCTCAGCCTTCATCTTTCCATCCCCACCTGCCTTAAAAGAGCTTCCACCAGGAACATTCTTTCACCTCCACATCTGTACCTGAGGTAATTCCAAAGGTCTAACGATCCTATCTTTCCACAAGAGTATCTACCATACTTGGAAGCAGGCTCATAGTATCTTCCCTTGCTCCTACTTTTCTCTCTTCCTCAAAAATACTCCTAGCATGTCCCCCTCATGTGTCTTACCCAACTCTGTCAATGGTGTCACTCAGTCACCTAGATTAAGGGTTGGAGATCAAGGTAGATTCCTTCCTCTTCCTCCCCTCCTCCCTTTCCTCCTTCCCACCTCCTCTCCTCCTCCTCCCCTTCTCCTCCTCCTTCCTTCTCCTCCTCCTCCTCCTCTTCCTCCTCCTCCTTCTTCTCCTCCTTCTTATTTCTCCAAAGCGGTCATTTCACCAATCCAATTCAAGATTCATGAAAATATCTGTTCAATCTAACCTTCCTCTTCACTCCTACTTCTACCATGCTATGACGGCATCTACCACTCCCTGCAGGTGGATGACAATAGCATCCAGGTAATCTCCTTTACGCTAAGCTATTCTGGGCTCCAGAACCTTGCCTAGATGCATGTTAAAATGTGCTTGTAAAAGCATGAAGACCTCTCTCAGAACAGGTCACACTGCTTCCCTTGTACAGGGAATCATCTCCATATAACATCTACCCATTTGTTCTGCTTCAAAGGGAAAATTTCTGTCTTCTACCAAATCTATGACTGTTTGAAAACAACTCCCTTACATCTGCTTAATATTCTTCCTTCTACCTAACTGCAGCCAATTCTCTTCAGATGACTTTTTTCAGAACCCCTGTCACAGCCCCACTGAACATGCACAGTGCTCTTGGGCTGAATATGATCATTTTACCTTTCCCACTTTCAAATCTCTCCATGCTTAGCCAAAGTCATGGATAATACCAAGATTTCTGATAAATAATAACATAAGACTTTTGTCTGTAGTGTGAGACAGCACTTACATTTTTTTATTATCTGTAAATAGCTGTACAAAGGGATTTCAGTTCAACAAATCAGTTTAGAAGTACAACATATCTTTTTATTCACTTGTTTTTGTGTATTTCAAGTAGCTGTTCACGGGGGTTTCAATCCGGCTAGTCAGATTATGAGTACAATGTATCTTGATCAATGTCACCCTTTCCACCATCGCCCCCCATATTTCCTCATCTGTCCCCTCAAGTTACATGGTTCCATTTTATCATTTACATTTAATAAATATTTGGCGATTTACTAACCTCCATTAGTTATGAGTGGTTGTGTGTGAGTGGTTACTTGGGGAAAACAATTCTAAACTCTTTGTATATTCTGTCTTTAGTGGAAGAGCGACAGAGCTTGCTTTAAAAGGCATTATACCTTTTTCAGAAAGTTTATTTTAAGAAAATAAACTAGCTACCATAAGAGTTAAGGGTCTCTAAACACACTTAGCAGAAAACAGACACTCTACCTTTATTCCCCAGCAACCCTCAAGCCACTGACCTCCCTTGATCTCTGAGATGACAGTTTGCCAAGTTCCATGAAGATAGCATTCACAAATGACCCCATTAGATTTCCTAAAGACCTTAATTGCTCAATTCCTTTCACCCAGGTTTCTGAGGTTCAAGGAATGCCAGCCTTCAGTTACTCTCTTCTATTGGATCTAGCTATTGTTACCTTAATCCTTTCTGAAGCCCTAAGAATGCAAAGAACTGAAGCAGACTTTGATTCTCCTACTGAATTACAAGATACTTTATATACTTCTGTCACACAGTCTTTCTCGGGTATTTACCGTTCAACAAGGACATTCACTTTCATGTCTAAACATAGGAGAGATGCATCACTGCAGTAAATGTAATCTTAAAGACTCCAAAGCTGATTCTCTTCAAAGGACCATGTGAAATACCTTTAAAAAATCACCACTCCCTGCTGCTCTAACCCCATCCTTCAATCTTATCTGGATGAAAGCCATTGGCTGAGGGCTATTTATTCTGCATCAGCATTGGAAAAATTACCTGGGTTTTTCCTTGCAAATCGAATCAACATATTTTTGAGTAGTTAAATATATTGAAGCAAGTTTATGAAGAACAAAATAATTTCATGTAAACTTTAGCCTTTGTGGATTCTTGTCTTTCTTGGTTTCTTTCAAGAGGAGGTATGCACGTGCGCGCACACGCATGTGTATGTGTGTGTGTGTGTGTGTGTGTGTGTGTGTGTGTTGATCCTGGAGCTTGAACTCAGAACCTGGGTTCTGTCTCTGAACTTCTATACTAAATGCTACTACTCTACCACTTAACTCGCACATTAACTCCAATTCCTACTTTTAATTTTGGTGGTGAGTTTGTATAGTGTATATTTTTGTATATTTGTATCGTGTATATTGTATATTTTTGGTGGAAGAGCAACAGAGCGCTTATCAGAGATGAGTATCTCTGACTTTCCTGCCAGGGTTGGCTTCGAACCACAGTCCTCCGATCTAAGCCTCCTCAGTAGCTAGGCTTGTACATATGGGCCTCCAGCACTCAGCTCTACTTTGGTTTGTGATGGCCTTAAAGGTAAGTATCATAGCTGCATACGCAAATATACTTGCCCGAAACTAAAACATGTAGAACAAGGTGGATAGTATGGTGAAGGGGACACCAAAAAAAAAAAAAAAAAAAAAATAGATGAATCAGGTAATTTAAAAAAACAGAGGCTCGGTTATGCTTACGTCATGCCAGACTCACAAAGCTTTAGTTTCCTTGTTTACAATTCTTAACAGTCTTATTATATTGAAAACTTTTTCATGAAGTTTCTCAGGTCCCTGAAACTACAGGGCCATGTAGGATATCTGTTGGTACTAGTGCCTCCTTTACTACCAATGCAATCGATTTCCAGTGGCAAATGAAAGAACACAAAGGGCCCATGGGGTTTGTTTTATACTCTCACCTCACACCACTACCTCCCACAGCATACATGTACACAAGCACACACTCCATCCAAGTGCTCACAGGGTAGAGCTTTAGCATTCCTCCTCTGAAGGAAAAACAGGGTAAATGGTGGAAGTTTTACTTACAGGGCAGATTCAGAGGCGAATCATCACTCTACCTAGCCACACTAAGGGCTTTCAACACTTCTAAGAGATTGTGACGTCATTAGATAATAATAAATATACAGCTATATTACTCAAAGATCTGTGAACTTGAATCACTGCTTTAGTAAAAACAAAAAAAAAAAAGGCTTGGAGTTTGTGGGTTATGGCTTAGTGGTTACAATCTATACACAAGGCCCTGAGTTTGAGCCCTTGATATTAAACAAACCAAAAATTTAAGTGAGTTGAGGACTATTTGGAGTGGTGAACATGTGGAAGGGATCAAAAGGACAACAGAGAGTTGGGAACTGAATATGAGCAAAGTACAATATACACATGTATGAAAATAGCATTAATGAGACCCACAATTTTGTACCATAAGATACTGAGGGCTTCTCTGCTTCAGATTTTATTTATATTATTTATCATAACTGCTGAAAAATAATAAGTAGGTACAGCAGGAATATTTTAGAGTTCTTTTTTTTGTTTTCATGCTGATATGTGAATTAATCATTACCATTTCTTCTATATAAAAATACATATGGTAAATCTTACATTCATTGCTCCTGTGAGTGAGACAAGATTCTATTTTCTCTCTCTCCTTGATCAACAAATTCTCAATATTTTTTAAAGCACAGTGATTGAAACCATAGTCTAACACCTTCTGAGAACATATCATGAGAACATCATGGAGAGGAGAGGAGAGACAGGTAAAATTAGGTAAATAAAACTAAAGTAGTATCTGCTGAGGAACAGACCAATTCTAATATCTTATGATGAAGATAGCACATTGCTCAATTACCCTGTCCAATGTCTTTCTGCATATCTGTTTTATCATAATAAAAATGTCCAAAATATATCATAGCAAGCTGACAATTTATCTCATCTTCCTCTGTCTTAAATTCAAACACAAGACTCCAATCAGGCAGCCAGAGAGAGGGGAAAGGACTCTAACAGAAGCAAATTGGGCCAACCTCTCTCATCTCCTTGTAGCTACTTGCTACAAGGAGATTTAGCCTAGGACTCTACTTTTCATGGTAACCTGCAAACCTTTTCTCTTAGTGCTAGAGGATATGAACCTCCTGATTCCTCAGCTTTTAACCTTAGAGTAAGAATTCCAACTGTTTTTTCCCAGTCCTCTACCTACTTCCCCAATACCTTTCCTACTTTCTGAGATCAGCAAGACCTGCCACATCTCTGGAAGGCAGCCAACTTCAATCCCTTGGCTACAACCAGTCAGTTGAAAGCAGTCCGTGCAGGTGTTTCTCTCTGACCCCATCCGCAGTCCTATTCGGGACTCATCCTCTCCCTAAATTCTAATGCACCTTGCCTGGCACCTTCTCTTAAGGCCTAAGTTCACCCCCAACTTCTAGTCCACAATGTGGGCCCTACTACTGTGTGTGGTAACTGCCAGCTAGAGGAGTATGTACTTCTCCAATCCAAACTGACAGGAAAGCAGTCAGAGTGCACAGGCGATCTCACCTGTACCACAAAAGACACCCAAAATCTCCTCAGCACCCACCGCCACCTGCATGGCAGCCTATTTGCTGCTGATGTGGATAATCAGAATCAATGTCAGCATAAGTGTGGCAGATGTCTGTCCACAGATGAGACACAAAAATTCAAGTTCCTTCCTGTGAGTGAGTCATAAAGGGAGTAGGAAAAAAAACCCAGGAAGAAATAAAAGAAAGGAAAATGTAAAGGAAGAGAGGGAGGCGAGAAGAAGGGAGGGAGAGAGGGAAGGAGGGAGGAGAAAAGAAGGGAGGAGGGAGAGGAAAAGAGGTTCTACCACTTCCTCTTTATCTACAAATAGAATAATATGTATTTTAAAGAGCTATTGTGAGACTTACATGGATTCATACATGCTAGATGTAGGCCATAGAAAGCAAATAGTAGATATTATATCAATCTCCCTCCTTCCCTTTTCTTCCGGGATTATAACAAAGATTAGTGTGAGCTTCAAGAAAAAGTAGAAAGTGGGAGATAAAGAGGGATGGGGTAACAATGATTAAAAACAAATGTACTTATTGCCTTAACTATGTAACTGTAATCCCTTGCTCATCACCTTTCCAATAAAAAAAATTAAAGAAAACGTAGAGATTATTTCCTCCCATCCACCCCACTCCATCCCTCTGTCCGTCTCTGCTCCTACCAATCTGATTTTGTGGTGTCATTCCTTTTGCCTCTGTGAAGCAGTCTGAATTTTATAACAATTCAATCAAGTTCAATTAATGGAATGTTCAAGAGGCCTGGAAAATCAATGCTATATTGAATTATGAATGAAATAATAGAGCAAAACAAACCTCATGCCTCAGAGCAAAAGTTCATGCTTTTAATGTGTAAGGAAGCCATTTGTTCTTGGCGCCAACTCAACCTTCCCTCTAAGCAGCCAGATAGATCCTCACCCAACCATTTAGATGCATTATGAAAACAAGGTGTCCTCCATATCTGAACAGCAATTGGTAAATATGTAGCAGGAGAGAGGGAAGGAATACTAAACCTGATCCAACAGCTTTCTGGCCCAGCATAGTACAGGCTGTTCTGATGTTGGACAAGAGTTGTAATTGGAGTTATCTTCGCCACCAGGCACACTATAATCAGCACACCAGTTCTAGAGCATCTAAAGGAAGCGATCTTTATCAACGGTCCTTTATGAAAGGTATTTGGAGGACAGGATTCCAGCCCTTGGCCACTATAAAATCCCTTCAGTAGCTAGGTGCTGATGGCTCATGCTTGTAATCTTAGCTACTTGGTAGTCTGAGATCAGAAGGATCACAGTTCCAAACCAGCCAAGGCATAAAAGTCTACAAGATTCTAACTGAAGAAAGTTGGATGGGAATAATGGTATGTACTGTCATTCCAGCTATCTAGGGAACCCTATATAGGGGAATCATGGTCTCGATGCATGCTCAGACAGGAAGTAAAACTCTGCCTCAAAATTAACCAGTATTGGAGGAAGGGGAGTCAGGGGAGGGGGGGAGAATATGAAGGGGGGCGCATAACACTGTTCATAAAGAAATGTACTCATTACTTCTGTAACTGTAACCCTTCTGTACATCATCTTTACAATAGATTTTTAAAAAATTAACCAGCATTTAAGTGGGCTGAAGCTGTGGCCTATTCATAGAGCATTTACCTAGCAAGCTTGAGATCATGACTTCAAACGCCAGAACTACCAAGTGGGGGAATTGTGACTCTCTACTAGTTCTGGTAAGGGAAGAACTCTTAAAAGAAAATTAAGTGTCTGTTTTCTAACCCACAACTCCATATCCTTTCCTACAGTTCAATTTGCTCAGCTAGTTTTACCACTGTTATGTTTGAATGTAATGAACACATTTATAGGAAAGTATTTCTCAATTGTTTTTCTTTCTTTCCTAATGCTTAAATTCCTAGGGTAGTATTTATCATAGTAAGCTATATTCTCTCATTCCTTCTGCTCTCCTATAACTTCCAAGAGCTGTCTTTAAAAAAAATCATAGCAGCATAATGATGATAATTTCCATGACATTATAATGAGTGAATTTTTTTCTACTAAGAGTGATGACTAACCTCCTAAAGCCCCCAGATTGATAACTATTATTTCCTTTCTAAGTGGAAAAGGAAGGCAGGGAGAATTCAGCCTCCTTTAAATCATTCATCATATCCTAGTGATTCTTCGGCTCTTTGAAGGGTAAACGACCTTTGCTCCCTTCTGAATGATGTCTGTAAAATGATGGTAACATCCAATTGCCTAATTGCTCTTCATAGCTCTTCCAACTTCTAGGAGCCTTTTTATGGCTTTCCTTCTATCTCCTCTCTACCCTTAGTTACAGGGACCACATTCTGTCGATTTCTTCCTTTCTCCTTGTCAGTTCTTTCCTGAGCCTCTTGCTTTTCCTCTCCTCTTCTTTTCCTTCTTTCCTTCAGCAAGGCTCAGTTTGGGGTCCTGGGCTTTCTCCCTTGGCAGCACAGGCCTCCTGGAAGCTCCAGTCAGATGGCTTTAATTACCACCTGAATGCAGATGACTCCCAAATCTCCAGCCCCAGCCTTGACCTCTCACCTTCTTTTCAGTGCCATATTTCTTTCTGTCTGCAGAATATCTCTACTTGGGTGTCCTACCACCTCTTAAAACTAAACATGTCAGAAGCAAGGCTCATTATCTACACACACACACACACACACACACACACACACACACACACACACACATACACACACTTTCCTAGTCTCCCTTTTTCTAGGGTTGTCAACAGCGCCCTCACCTGGGGATCCTATCTCTAGCATTTACAACTAGGCTAAAGCAGCTTATCAGACCCCAGACCTTTGAAAGGCAGGTTTTCTTCTCCAATATTGAAAGCCATTAGGAAAGTGTGACAGCATTGAGACCTCAAATGATTTTACTTCAGGGTTGTCTGGAAAAAAAAAAGGCAAAAATAAAACCCACTACTTTCCTCTTCATTCGACTGATGAAAAATACTTAAGATCTCTAGCACACTCCAATCCTTCGGACATCTAGACATCCTCAGGCCCTCTGAATTGACAAGCAGATTGCAAATGTACCTCCCTTTGACTCATGGCTTTAAATTACAGAATATGAGAGGCTGCACATTTGTAAGCCTTTTTATTTCCTAACATAATTAGTAGTTACAGTTATCAATTAAATCGTAAACTAATTACTAATTAGCCTGAGAGATCGAAGGTGAAATGGAAGTTTTAAGAAATGATTTCTATTCTTAATTCGTAGTCTCTGCCCCCAGAATCACCACCACCCTATCCCTGGGACTTGTTTATGTGTCATTCTTTGCTGCCTCCCAACCTTTCAGCAACATGAGGCAGTAATTACACCGTCATGGTGGAGACTGACTGTCTTAGAAGGCACCAGACACTCTGCTGAGAGATTTACTCACATGAGCTCATCTAATCCTCACAGCCCCCTTAGAAGTCACTACACAC